CTCATATATCCATTAGCTTTAAATTCAAGAGCCAACAACAATGTGATCGAGCTGAATTTGAAAAGTATCTCATCTAAAAAACGTTTTTGTGCTGAAGACTGGTGAATCATTACACATTGTTGCACCTAAATTCAAACTGACCAATCGGTGCACTGCATCAGGCCACGCACACACACACACACACACACACACACACACACACACACACACACACACGCACACACACATACACACACACACACGCACACACACTGTTGCCAACATAGCTACTTTGTTGCTATAATTAGCCAGATGTCCGACCAATCTAGTGACCAATTTTCAAAAAAGCGACTCGCAAAAAAGTCTGGCAACTTTTTGTTAGATTTAAAACAATTGCTTAAGGATCCTTTAAAGATAACCTGGAGAGTAGAAGAAGAATGTGTGTTTTCCTGTGTATTACTGTGTGTTTCTTCCGTCAGATTTTAATACTGAAGAGTAAAAATATTTGGTAATAACCAAATGCCTTGAGACTCTTTTAAAAGTTAGATGGTGTTTCCTATGGCCCGAATTTCACCACTTTTTCGCCGTTTCTTTGGAAACGCCCTGACCTTTGAGAAAGTTTTGTAATAGCACGGGCGCATGCTGGTTTGGGTCCGATCCGCGGAGCCCTGCGCGACAAGTTACGCACCCAAAATTGAACGGAAGCAGGAGAACGATAAGTGAGGGAATAAATATGCAATACAGTAATAGGGGGGCCTGCAGCTGGCAGTGGCCCCCCTAAATAGGAGAACAACAGTGACAATGCCTTTGAAAGCATCCTCAAAACTATAATGGACAGAAGAAATTTAATTGTTTCATTGTTGTTCTAAACATATTTCGGGCTGTATTTACGCATTTTTTGTCTCTCCCACAATGTTGCTCTTCTCCCTTAAAGTGTACATTACAATTACATGACATGGTCAACTGCGCAAATTATGTGATGATGTCAGTCATTGACTTCTAGTGACCTTTAGGAACACTGGCCACAGGCAGATAATATGTACAGCTCCACACAAGTTACACTTTGGAGCATTCCACCTTTATTAAGTTATGTAGATTCACACTCACACTTTGATGATGAAAGTTCCAGTGTGATCTCTTAGGACCCTATTTTCTTCTGTTTTCACCTCATTTAAGATCTGATTGTCTGCTTGGGCCTCATTCATGAAACCTAAGAGCTGATAGAGTGTTCTTTGCTTTCCTGATAGGTGATGACTGGTTGGACTTTTGCTTTGTGTGAATGATTTCCCTGAACAAAAGAAAAACACCCCACAGCAGAGAGGTTCTACTGCGTTCAGACCGATTTGTGCGCAATGTGACAGGGCAGGAACGACTGTCAGAGTTTCTTTTTGAATCTCATCACTGACTGTATTTTTTACCTTTAGGGGAACGGATCAGCTCAGGTAGGGAAAATAAAAAATCATCCTACAAAACACATCAGGTTAGGGAACACAGCACGTTGGAATTTCAGCTAATTTCAGCTGATGCCTGTTTGTACTCATGAACCTAACAGCAGTTCAGATTACCCACCATTTGGAGTCCTTAGAAGTGGTGCTGGAGAGCTCCCTTGTTCTACTGGGGGACTTCAATAATCTCGTGGCCAATGACAGTGATACCTGGAAGGGTGTGGTTGGGGGTAATTGCCCCGCCCAGGCATGACTCAAGTATTGTTTAATTGTTTGACCTCTGTGCCCGTCATGGACTGTCCATAACGAACACCATGTTCAGGCATGGGGGTGTCCATATTTGCTTTGGCACCAGGACAACCTTATACCGCAGTACGATGATCGACTTTGCTGTTGTTGGATCACACTCTTAAGAATCCCCGGTAAGGTCTTTTCAGAGGTTCTGGAGAGGAACCTCTGGATTCGAGGTTAAACCCCGAATCCAGGAAAAGCAGTGTGATTATCGCAGACCAGCTCGACACCATCAGTAGGATCCTGGAGGGTACGTGGGAGTTCCCTCAACCAGTTTTCATGTGTTTCGCGGAATTGGAAAAGAGGTTTGACCGTGTCCCTCAGCAAATCCTGTGGGAGGTCCTCTGGGAGTATGGGGTACCAGGCCTTTGATACGGGCTGTTAGGTCCCTGAATGACATGTACCAGGAGTTGGTCTGCATTGCTGGTAGTAAATCCGACTTGTTTCCAGTAAGAGTTTGACTCCGCTAAGGTACATCAGCAGCTGATGCTACCTATCAGATGCTGATGTCTTTCCTGCTTGACATTGTATTAGCTCACATTAGCTTTGTGGAGTTATGGAGGCAAAAACAAGTGATGTAATCAGGGAAATCAGGATGAGGGGGATGAATCTGTTGCATGGAAACAGCAAACAGAAAACAAGGAGGGAAAGAATAAAGGAGCTGGACCATGGAGGGATGTGGCCACAGGGCTGCCTGAGCTCTGCTGCCTCTCTTTTCTGCCTCTTCCTCCAATAATGGAGGAGCGGGAGCTCTGCTTTCCACACATCAACTCCTCCTGTAGAAAGCAGAGGCGCTCTCAGGCTGATAACCTACTGACTTACAGCTTGCTGCCCCTCATCTCTCTGCTCACCACCACCCTCAACCTGCTGGTCATCATCTCCATCTCCCACTTCAAGTACCTGCTCTCTTATTCACCTCATGCCTTTTGATGCAGTAAATAAATGTTCTGCATGGAAGGAAACACTTCTAGACGAGATGATTGATATCTTATACTGCTCTAACTGGGAATTGTTATTGCTGAATGTTTTTCTGACTTTTCAAAGACTGTACAGACTATATGTGATTCTTCTCTCTCAACTAAGGCAGCTCCACACCCCCACCAACCTCCTGCTGCTCTCTCTGGCTGTCTCAGATTTCCTCGTGGGGCTCCTCATATCCTTTGTGCTGGTTTTCTCAGATGGCTGCTGGTACCTGGGTGACCACATCTGTGTGCTGTACAGTGGGATAGACGCCACACTGATCACTGTCCCAGTGGGAACCATGGTGCTCATTTCCATCGATCGCTATGTGGCCATCTGTTACCCTCTGCATTATCATTATAAAATCTCTGTGAGGAGAGTTTTAGTGGCTAATGTACTCTGTTGGGTCTGTTCTGTGCTGTATATCAGTGTGATATTGTGGGACATATTCATTCAGCCTGACCGGTTTAAATCCTGCCAGGGCGAGTGTGTAATAGCTTTAGATGATAATGAGGGAATCATAGACTTTGCCCTGATCTTTGTGGTCCCTGTATCTGTGGTCATAGTTCTGTATCTCAGGGTGTTTGTGGTGGCGGTGTCTCAGGCTCGGGCCATGAGGGGTCAGATTAGAACCGTAACACTGAAACGATCAGAGGCCGTGCACGTCAGGAAATCTGAGCTGAAAGCTGCCGGGATCCTAGGAGTGGTTGTTGTTACTTTTCTGTCCTGTTACTTCCCATATTACTGCTCCTCCTTTGTAGGGGATGGTTTTCAGTTCAGTTCAACAGCAGTGCCTTTACAGACCTGGCTACCGTACTTTAACTCCTGTCTGAACCCACTCATTTATGCCTTTTTCTACCCCTGGTTTAGGAAGTCTGCTAAGCTCCTACTGACACTAAAGATTCTTCGCCGTGGCTCCTCTAGGCTGAACGTACTGTAGAGACACTGTTCAGGCTCTGACATGAAGCATCTGAATGAAGAGGCTGGACATGATCCAGACACTCTGGGCAAATGTAGATTTATAGTATCTCTGTGAGTGTAGAGAAAGGCCCAAAAAGAGGATCTCTAGTTTATATAAACTCTGCTTTTCTATTAGTGGCCTCAGACTCTGTTTAGATTGAAAAATGAAATGCTATACTGATTATAAAAGCAGCTGTTTTTAATGCTGCTTTTAGAGATGGACCATCAGCCCAGTCCTGTTTATGATACTTTTACTGTTCAAATGAGCACATCTGAAGCAAATACATAACTGAATTCAACAGCTCTTAGACTTAGACTCAGACTCAACTTTATTTATTCCTT